CATGAAGTCATCATCAAGTAAAATCATCATGACTATGTGTGACATCAATTACGCATCATGTTATCATCATCAAGTACATCAATTACATAGATGTCATGTAATCATCATCAAGAACAAGTATATATGGATTATATGAGTATCATGTAATCATCCTCACAAGCAAATTGATTAAATGTGCCATCATGTAATTATCATCAAAAATTTATCATCATGAATCATCAAATTGACCATATGATATAATGTGCCATATCATGAATATTATTATACATTTGTGGACGTATATATATGTATATGTATACGTCTATGAATCATTCTACAAATTCTAGCGTGGTACCACTCCGCGGTTTCGCTAAGCGTGTAGTTTGTATTTTTTTTCGTTGACTACACGTAGGTAACAAGAAGACAATGATGGAACCATTTCCGGAGGGCATTGAGTCAGAGGAGATGCAAAGATAGCAGGCAAATGTTTGATCAACATATTTTAAAATATGTCATGATTTGGTTATTATTGTACTTCCGCATTACTCTGAAAATATTTTAAATGGGTCGCGATCTAGAGTCTGTAAATTTAATATTTTTAAGTAATTGTCATTTTCAAATGTCAAGCGAAATTTTTATTTAACTCTTGTTTCACCATAATTCGTATAATTCCGGGTTATACGGATTGGGGTGTTACAAAAAGAGTGACAAAACATCATCATCATTTTGTGCATCAAGGCTAAGAATCAAAGCTACAACAAGTTCATATCCGTCCATGAAGAAGGGACTTGAGCATCGGTGGAAGGAACGAGACCGAAGAGGTTGTTTCCTTAGTTGGGTAGTGTTTTAGGTCTTAGATTATGTGTTAAAGAGTATGGCATCTCTAAGGTTCATTCCCTTATCATCCTACCTTTAAAACACATTTTATATCAGCTTTTGTGTGGGGAAGTTGTCTTTCTATTCGAATAATCTCTAGTTTATTCAAATAAGTCGTGATCTTTCCTGTGACTGAAATTAACCTGTTTTATTCGAATAAATCACCACTTATTCGAATAAGTTTTGGTTTTTCAACCTGATTTATTCGAATAAATCACCATTTACTCGAATAGGAACTGGTTTTTTCAAGCCACGCGATTGATCCAAACTATTCGAATAGTTCTTGAGTTATTCGAATAAGTCGACAGTTTCAACTACCAAACGGCTAGTTTTTTGAATCCTTTTCATCCCTATCCACTCCCCAACTTCTATAAACTATCTACTTTCGAGATTATCTTCAGAAGAACACTTAGAACACTTTGAAGAACATATCCTTTGAATATCCAAAGAGATTCATGCTTATGGCCTAAACATGAATCCTAATTGTTAAAACCTGCATAGGAACTGATTCGAAGGCGCATAGCATGACTTTACATTCATATTGTGATCCATACATGCTGAATTTTGTACTAGAAGGGCTAAAGGATCAAGAAAATTTGTTTTTTTCAAATTTGCTTTAGCTTCATATGTTGCATACTTGAATCTGATTTTTGGTTCATAAATGACCATCTAGTGATAATCTTGGTGTAGAAACTGCCAACCAAAGCTGAAATTTGAGAGCATATATGGATTTTTACTCTTTATTTGTTTTAAAGAAACACATTTACTTTACTACTTTATGGTTTATTTGAATATTTATTGGCAAGTAGTAAGCTATGTCTAGACAAAGACTTTAAATCGGGCGGATTATGGGAGGCAACCCACATACTTTTCTTGCTCTTTATTTAATTTGTATTATTGTTTTCTTATTAATCTTTTGGTTTTGTTTGGTGGAAATTTTAAAGTAATTGGACATTTTCGGACATAAATTCGGTTGGGTCCACAAAATAATTTTTCCAAAATAATTATGGACAATTAATCTCGTAAGTAAGACGAACGTCTTGATATATGACATGTCATGAACGGTGCTCGGGTGAATGAGAAATTAATTCTCAAAGTTGAACACTAAGGTAGAGTAAATGCCTTTGTCCCACACCGGTTTCTAAACCTTTCGTATTCTCATATTTAAGCTTAGGCATTGAATTGAGCTTATGAAAGGAACAAGAAGAGGACTCCTCGCGCGCCCGCCGCCGTTCGTCCGGCTCGGCACGCGCGCGCGCGTCGCGGCGGGGCGGGGCGTGGCGTGGCGTGGCGGTTTTATCCTGGGAGGAGATTGCCCACGTTTGCCAGTGCGGGAGGCGGGCAATACTACCTTAAGGAAAGCTCCGGCGACTCTGCTTTCCTTTCCCTTCTACTCCGGCGTTCTTCTTTTCTTCATCCGACGTCTCTGTTAGCCGTTCAAGCGCCCGTCCGTTCGTGCTCCTGTGTCCGTTCGAGCATCTCCGAAGACTTCAAGTTTATTTTCATTTTTTTTCTTTGGTTGTAAAATCCGAACGTTTTATAAGTTCGGATTATTTTATTTTTTTTATTTTTCCCGCTGTAATATCCAATAATCTTAAGGTAGTAGTGATGGAGTTCGGATTCGGCATCATGGGTTCCTCCGGCAACGGAATGACTTCCGAAATCCCGGTGGAAACCTCTTCGGTCGCCATGGTTGTGCCGTCCTCACCACTACCCTTTGGGGCAAGTGTGGGGGCCGCGACCATGACATCGTTTTCAATGCCGAGCTCGATCTTCGGGTCGGCCCCTCGACCCATTCCCGGGCTCGAAACCACGGGGGATCACCCCGTCGGTAATTCGAACCCGTTTCTCGGACTGACTACGGCTACGGCCTCGACGGTCAACTTTGGACTGAACGCAGGCTTTCCCACCCCGGTCAACGTAGGACCGAATGTGGGTTTCCCCACACCGGTCAATCCATTCGTTGGACCCCATTGGGCGACTAACGGGCCATTCCTCCACACGCCCAATGCAGTTGGGCCGATTACGGTGCCCGCTAGTTCGGTTCAAAGGCCACAGAAGTTCAATGGGAGGAACTTCAAAATGTGGCAACAAAAGATGATGTTTTTTATGACCGTCTTGGGATTTGCTGAGTACCTGCAGCAAGATCCCCCCAGCCCAATGAAGCCAACGACCCCCTCGTGGCGATGGTGAACCAAGCATGGTACCACAACAACTATCTCGCCATCAACATTATCCTCGAGGGGTTGGGAGATTCGTTGTACCCCGTCTACGCCGGTGCAATGCTCGCCAAAGAGCTTTGGAATAGCTTGAACAAAAAGTATCAAGCTGAAGATGCCGGCACGAAGAAGTTCATCGTCGGGAAGATGCTGGACTACAAGATGGTCGACAACAAATCTGTTGTTGCCCAGGCTGAGGAGCTTACGGTTATCTTCAACAAATGCAATGAAGAGAAAGTAGGCGTCAGCGAGGCCTTCCACGTGGCGGCCATCATCCACAAACTTCCCCGGTCGTGGGAAGATTTCCAAGCCGGCCTCAAGCTCAAAAGAACGGAGCTGAATCTGGAGCAACTGTTCACGCGGTTGAGGATCCGAGAGGAAGGGCTTGCTAGAAGAAATGGAGGGGCTAAGGCGAATGTTGTAGAACATCCGTCGGGCTCTTCACATGGCGGGAAGGACAAAAAGAAAATGGGTCCTAAGGGTGGTGTTTCTAAATTTCCAGGAAAGTGCTACAATTGTGGCATTACTGGGCATCGTTCCTCCGATTGTAGGAAAAAGAAGCCACAAAAGGGAAAGAAGAAAACCACTAAAGCCATGTGTGCGGAGCTTGACAACTTGGACCTCTGTGCGGTTGTCACCGAGGTAAATCTCTTCGGGTCAAACCCGAAGGAATGGTTTGTGGACACAGGGGCCACACGCCATATTTGCTCAAACAGGAGCATGTTTCACGACTTCCAGGAGACCTCCGGTGACAAGGTCTGGATGGGCAACTCGGCCCAGTCAGAGGTACAAGGGGTGGGCAAGATTAAGCTCAAAATGACCTCACGAAAGGAGTTAACGCTTAACGATGTGCTCTATGTGCCTGATATTCGCAAGAATTTGGTGTCGGGGTCATTGTTGATCAAACACGGCTTCCGAATGGTGTTTGAATCAGACAAGCTAATTTTGTCCAAGAAAGGGATTTTTATTGGGAAAGGTTATATTTCCGATGGGCTTGTAAAGCTTAATGTAATGACTGTACATGAAAAGATCAATAAAAATCCTGTTGTTTATGTGTGTGAGTCTTCTAGTTTATGGCATGGTAGACTAGGACATGTTAATTATGCATCTCTCCGGAAATTAATTAACATGGAACACATACCTAAGTTTAGTATTGACTTAAATCGCAAGTGTGAAACTTGTGTTGAGGCAAAGTCAACTCGAAGTTCGTTTCAAACGATCGAACGAAATACTCAACCTCTAGAGTTGGTTCACACCGACTTGTGTGATTTTCGAACAACGCCTTCAAGAGGAGGTAATAAGTACTTTATTACCTTCGTCGATGATAGAACGAAATATTGCTATATCTATTTACTAAAAAGTAAAGATGAAGCATTAGACACTTTCGTTCGTTATAAGAACGAAGTGGAAAATCAACTCAATCGCAAGATAAATCGTAACTCTTCGCTATCTCCACCACTCATACTACGAGGTGAATTACTCAAAACACGTGTTGTACCTTAACACGTAGTTCATTGGGGTGGCATATGTGGTGTCAGATTGCCTCATCGCCTCGCGTTCTTAGCGTGAGATTAAGACATGATGAATGCGATGCTACTTAGTTCTGGATTACCTCAGAACATGTGGGGGGAGACTGTTTTATCAAGTAATTATTTACTAAATAAAATACCTCGTAAGAAACTTGACAAAACTCCGTATGAACTTTGGCATAATAGGAAACCTTCCTATAAGTATCTCAAAGTGTGGGGGTGTCTCGCGAAAGTACTTGCACCACCACCGAAGAAGATGGAGATCGGTCCAAAAACAGTTGATGGAATCTTCATCGGGTACAGTAGTCTGTCATACCGGTTTTTGGTGTATAAATCAGATAATCCTGAAATTCACAAGAACACAATCATCGAGTCACGGAATGCAACATTTTTCGAGCATATCTTTCCGTGCAAATCAAGTGACGAAGCCAGTTCGTCCAAACGTTCTCATGCTGAGATGATGGATAATGATGATCCAAATCAGTTGAATTCCGATGACGATGATGATGAAGTCGAGCATGAGACTGAACTGAGACGAAGTAAAAGAATGCGAACTGAAAAGACGTTCGGTTCTGACTTCATAACATATCTGATAGAATTTGACAAAGGAACTTTGTCATTTCTAATGGAAAATGAACCCGATATTCTAACCTGTTTGGTAGAAAAAGAACCACGAACCTATCACGAGGCCGTAACCTCAACTGAGGGACCTCAGTGGCAAGAGGCCATAAAGAGCGAAGTTGATTCTATCCTTCAGAATCACACGTGGGTGTAAGCCACTAGGTTCCAAATGGGTCTTTCGGAGGAAAATGAAGCCTGACGGCTCCATTGACAAGTACAAAGCTAGACTTGTGATCAAGGGGTATAGCCAACGCGAGGGCTATGACCACTTTGATACTTACGCGCCTGTGACTAGGATAGATTCTATCAGAATGATCATCGCATTTGCATCCTTACGAAACTTGGATGTTTACCAAATGGATGTGAAGACAGCTTTTCTAAATGGCGAACTAGATGAGGAAATCTATATGGAACAACCCGAATTGTTTAAAGTTCCGGGCCAAGAAAAGAAGGTCTCCAAACTTGTGAAATCATTATACGGTCTTAAACAAGCGCCAAAAGTATGGCATGATAAGTTTGACGAGGTAATGATGAGCAATGGTTTTAAGATAAATGAGTCTGATAAGTGCGTATACTTTAAGGACACATCTGAAGGGTATGTCATTTTATGTCTGTACGTAGACGACATACTCATCGTTGGAAGCAATGATAGGATGGTCAAGTCCACCAAGGACATGTTGAACGCACGATTCGATATGAAAGATTTGGGTCTGGCTGATGTGATTCTTGGAATCAAAATACTAAGAAGACCGGATGGTCTGAGCTTGAGCCAATCCCACTACATTGACAAGATCCTTGAGAAATTCAACAAGGATGATACAAAGATAGCTAAGACGCCGATAGACGTAAATGTTCGCCTTGGTAAAAACCGAGGGAGTAGCGATTCTCAGACAGAATACGCTAGAATCATCGGAAGTTTGATGTATCTAATGAGCTATACACGGCCAGAATTAGCTTGCGCCATTAGCAAACTAAGTAGGTATACGAGCAATCCGAGTGCTAAGCACTGGAAGGCCATAGTCCGAGTAATGAGATACCTTCGGTATACTCGAGATTAAAGCCTATGCTACGGCAGGTATCCACCCGTACTGGAAGGATACACTGATGCCATTTGGATTGCGGATAATAAGGATTCAAAATCCAGAAGTGGATTTGTCTTTATGCTAGCCGGTGCAGCTGTTTCCTGGAAATCCTCAAAACAGACATTAATTGCCAGATCCACCATGGAGTCTGAGTTCATAGCACTAGACAAGTGTGCAGAACATGCCGATTGGCTTCGGAATTTACTTGAGGACATTCCAAACTGGGAAAAACCAGTTCCTCCTATTTGCATTTACTGTGACTGTCAGTCAGCAATAGGAAGAGCTCAGAACAAATTATATAATGGTAAGTCTAGGCACATTCGCCGTAGACACAAAACCATTAGGCAACTTCTCAATACGAGTATTATCTCGATTGACTATGTTAAGTCGAAGGATAATTTAGCGGATCCATTAACCAAAGGGTTAACCAATGAACAACATGAGAAGTTAGTGGTAGGAATGGGTCTGAAAGCCCTACCCTGTGCTGGGAACGCTCCATGAAGGAAAACCCAACCTAGGTGGAACCTGGGTTCAATGGGACAACCTACTTGTGGAATGAAGCACGGTCACTGTGAGGGCAAGACGGATCACCGACTTAACACCCCTCCGTTCCTACTGAGATATAGTTGTTGGACATGAGTTCAAACCCCTTTATTATTTTCTCTGGAATATTTTTGTTTTGATAAATGACAAACAGGATGATGAAATTCAAACGATGATCGAAAATTTAATTTTCGTACCGAGAAAAGAAAAGAGGCGTATCAAGAAAGTTACGGGATAAAAATCAACGGTCCCCCAACGCAGTTTTTTGAAGTGATGTGAAGACTCCGAAGACTTTTTAATTTTTATTGAGTCTAGGATTTTTGTAAGGATGACAATATCTTTTGCACAAAACAATTGAATTTCTGAGGGATAAAAATTCTTTTTTGAGTCAGTTGAAAAATCATTTTTTCTCTGTCTAAAATATTTTAGTGAGTCAATCTCAAAATAAGTGTGTCAAAATTTCTTTAAAGATTTTCTTAAAGTTACACAAATTTCTTTGGTGAGAAAATATACTTTAAATATTTTTTCGTGTATTGTTTGACACACAAAATAAGTTTTGGACTCTTTTTTTTCTCTCCCCTACTCAAATTCATTGAATAAGGGAGATATAATCGTTGGAGCGCTTTTATTCTCGTTGTCTCAAACAACGAGTTAGAAGCCAAAGGGCTTCCAATCGCACTTGGCTTGGGCCCTTTGTGTTTGCGCATTATTTTCATGTTAATCGATTATTTACTCTAAAATAATCGATTAGATCCAGCGCAATTTCTCGGGTTTGAATTCTTAATCGATTTTTTCTCTTAAAATAATCGATTAGCTTGGACAGAGCCTCCTAATCGATTATTTGCTCTATTTTAATCGATTTTTAAGCTTTTCAGCAGGCTGCTCATTTTTGAACAATAATCGATTATTTCTCAGCAATTAATCGATTAGTTCGGACAGAGCCTATTAATCGATTATTTGCCTTAATTTAATCGATTATTATTCAGCCTTCGTTTCAGGCTTTTCGCTTCTGTACACTTTAATCGATTAAAATTCCTAATTTAATCGATTAATTCTCTCTGGTACAGAACATCA